CTTTCCCCTTCAATTAATTTTCAAAAATGATGTTTTGAGAAGTATATTGCTCATCTCCGTAATGTGAAAATTATAAATTCTTACATATATGTATAATGTAAAATAAATTAAATAATCACAGTTTGTACCCTTTCTAAATGAGTATCAATGGAATTATCTCCCCCCCAACCAAGTTCCAAGGGACATCTCTGATATAACAACCTCCCCTTGTTACTTCATTCCATCTCACAGACCAGAAATTCAAATTTGAAAAAAATTAAAAAACTAACAGTTCATTTCTCAAGTTTTTAATTTAAAGACTACTTAAGGGAAATATAATGTGCACCTGGGCCAATAATTTTTAGATAATTTTGTTCCAAAGGATCATAATTTTTTAAATAAATAGCAGTATACCATTACAACGTGAGGATATTTCAATTTTCTGCACTGCAAAGAGGAGCAAATTATTATTTCAAACTATTACATCACCTTTTTTTCCCTTAAGTTACCAAACTCATAGTGGTTCATATAAGGAGAAACAAAAAGAACAACCAGTATTCTGCATCATAAAAAATTCTGATTTGGGGGCCTCCCTGGTGGCACAAGGGGTTGGGACTCAGCCTGTGAGGCTTTTGCAGCCTCTGCAACACGGGTTTGGTCCCTCTGCAGGCCAGCGAGCGGCCCACGTGGCGCAGCAGATCTCTCCTGGCTCACCTGCTCCTCCCCTCAGTGGTGTGCTTAGGTCAGTCTGCCTGTTCTGTCCCCCACTCTGTCTCTGGTGAATCCTCTCACCCCCCTCCTCCGCCACAAACACACACACACCTCTGGCCTGTGCCCCGGCTCTTGTATGCATAAATAAATAAAAAATTTTAAAAATCTAAAAAAAAAAATCTGATTTTGAAAAATCAGTATTTGAAAAATACTAACCTAACTCATCAGCACACTTTTCTCTTCCTCCACATATCCACAAAAGGCTAATTGTTCTATTTGTACAGCCACACTGGATCCTTCATTCATGAACACTGACCGTGGGATTGTGTTCATTTATCCCTTTTAGGTGCCTACTTTCTTCTCAAATTGATTCTAAAGCTTTCCCACTGAAATATAAACATGTTCAAATATCTGCACCTTGAAAGAAAGGGGGAAGGGAAAGGGGGAGATACTTCATTAATCCCACATATCCTACATATGCTTTATATCCTTTTCATCTCAAAACCAATAATCATAACTTAGTCTTGAAAGTTGGTATATAAGTCCTGTTTCATAATAGTATTTTATTTTACAGAGGTTAACAATGATAATATTTTTTATTAAACTGCCAAAGACTTCCGTTATATTCCATCTAAAGGCACATATGTGTCATTTAAGTTGACTCTCCCCTTTTGTGGGGAAACTTCTCCTGTGGAGAAGGGAAGCTTAAGGATTCACTTGAGATGGGCATCTGGTAGTGGATGTGGTGTGAAATATACAGGTGCTGTGGTGAGAAGCTGAACATCTGAAATCTATACTGTATTGTAGACCAATGTGACCTCAGTAAAGATAAAAAAAGATTCAATCAAGACAGGACAATGAAGATGTATGCTTAAGTCTAGCCAAAGCCGAAAAATACAAAGCCCGTCAAAATGAAAATATATGGGCCTCCCTGGTGGCGCAAGGGGTTAAGCACCACACTGTGAAACAATCCACAGCCTCTGCAGCACAAATTCAATCCCTGGCCGGCCAGGAAGTAACCCACATGGTGCAGCAGATCTCTCCTGTCTTGCCCGCTACTCCCTTCAGCAGTGTATTTCAGTCAGTCTGCCTGTTCTGTTCCCCACTCTGTCTCTGGTGAGTCTTCCCACTCCCCGCATCTCTGGCCCATACCCCAGCTCTTGTATGCATAAATAAATAAATCTTTAAAAAAAAGGGAAAATATATACAAACACATTTTATTCCTAAGAATCAGAAGCTTAAAGTTCTTAATCACATGAGCCACTACTAAGGGATGTTTTTGGCTATTTAAGATGATCCAAGGGCCTAAAGAGGACAGAGGAAAAGAATAATAAATCTAATCACATTAAAGCCGAATGAAAAAGTAAAAAAATAAAGAAAATGTACAAATGATGAAAAAATTATATTACATGACAAATATAAAGAATTCTCACAAATGAAGAACTCAGAATATACACAAAACATGACTAGTCAACAAAAAAGATAAAAATAAACAACATCTAGGGCCTCCCTGGTGGCACAAGGGGTTAAGCACAGCCCTGTGAAGCTATCTGCAGCCTCTGTAGCACGAGTTCCATCCCCTGGCCAGCCACATGGTGCAGCAGACCTCTCCTGTCTAGGCCGCTGCTCCCCTCAGCAGTGTATTTCAGTCAGTCTGCCTGTTCTGTTACCCACTCTCTCTCTCTGGTGAATCCTTTCACTCCCCACACCTCTGGCCTGCACCCCAGTTCTTGTATGCATGAACAAATATATCTTAAAAAAAAAAAATCTATAAAACATGTCCTTCCTCACCCATACTTACAAGACACGCAAATCAAGGAAAGACTTTCTAAGCTGCATATATACGAAGATCAAAATGTTCGGCAATACCATTAGCATATAGGTCTGGTAAAAGTGTAAATTGTTTAATACAATAAAGTACATGTATAAATATAACTGTACTTCTTGAAATTCACTTTACAGTCTACTTAAAATACTGTGCAAATTACACATACAAACCTACTCACTACAGCACTATCTGTAAAAAGCAACAAACTGGAAATCTAAAGGCCATAAATACTCCTATTTAAAGAAATACTAACATAGCTAAGTTTCATAATACACTATTAAAGTCTTCTCAATGAAAAAAGTATATACATATAAACTAATGTGAAAACATTTCTTAATATAAACTGATTAGAAATAAATGTTTGTAATAGTGTATGCATTGTGAAGCTATGTAATTTAAATATATACGTTTTATCTCTTGTAAAAAGGTCACAGACTCAGGAAATGGCCATGTGTTACATATTATAGCCAAATAAAATACCAAACAATAATTTATATGATACCCAGTTAAATTGACATTTCAGGTAAACAAATTATTTTTTGTGTGTATGTCCAAATATTACTTTTTTTAATTTGCTAACTGGAAGCCCTAGTTGCATAATACTATTCAGATCACAACCTCAGCTGCCTCAGACTATGATTTCTTCTTTCAGCTCTATGAAAGTTCTAAAGTCAGTCTATAGTTTTTTTCTAATTCTAAAATTCAGGGGGTTAAAGCTTCCTAGAATTCTGGCATTTTATAAAGAGTTCAACATATACCCAGGATAATGCTCAGACAAACAAACAGCTTCAAATAATCCTTCACTGAATCCTTCTAGTCTCTGAAAACAGGCATTTGTCACATTCCTACCTTCGTCTCTTACTTTACACCACTCTACACGCTCAGACTTTCTTTCTTTTTCATATATGTGGATGATTCCTAGGCTGTTCTCTCCCTCTCCAGTCAATCACAGAATTCATGGAAAGCCTCAAACCATCTGTAACATCAAAATTAACATAGCTAACCAAAAAAAAATGCAAAAATATAATGTAAAAATATAAATATATGGCTTTAGCGAATGTCTGTATTACTACGTATCTATCAGAAGCTTACAATTTAAGTATGACATGCAAACAAGAAGCAATTAGAGAACCAGAAGAAATATTAACAGTGTAAGAGCTTCACATACTCTGATTAGCTGCAGTCACAGAAGACCTATAGGTCACCCAAATGCTAGCCAACCCCAAAGATACCAGGAAATATGAGTCTCATCCCACTAGCAACTGCGACTGGAAATAGTCTACTTCCCAGAATACTTGGAGTGAAGTCTGGACAATTATGTGTACAGACTTAGACATTCTCTATCCCTGCCCTGCTTAGCCAGGCAACACAACTGGAATTCTCTGGTCTCCTGGGAACAAAGCCCAGACTCCAACTGCAGCTCATTTGCCTGGGGCTACCATTACTCAGTCCAGATCATGCCTCCCACTGAAGGCGGCACACTGTGCTTTATAATCCACAGCTTCAGATAGTCATTATCAAAAGCGATTTACCAGATTCACAACCCACAGCACAATGCTTAATCCTACTACTGCTACCACTGAATTCCATTATTTCCTAAAAGCTCTTCCTTTAGCATCCCATTCATTTTAATGATCAGTGAAGTATAAGTCAGTCATTATCCTTTGGAGACTTACGTTCTATGTGTGACTATCTCTAATAAGGCCAGCCTTGCAGTTAAGTCAGGTCTTCCTAGGTTTGATTGCCATCAACCCAGGTTTCCTATTCTATCGATCCAGTCTTATAGAACAACAAAACAAGCAAAAGCTTCCTATTCTCCTTAATCATTCTAGATACAACTATCCTACCTATATTTTGCTTTTAAAACTCATCTTTCAACATTTTTAAAACCTTTCCATATCAAAAGTGGATTATTTCTTTCTCTGCAAAACAACCACTATAATTTACCCTTCCCTCTATAGGATTTTTCACACATCTCGCTCACTTCATATTTGGGTTTATGGTAATATATTTCCTTTTGTATATTTCTCTAAGACTTCCGGGAAGCATGCAATATTTAGATTTATGATTATAATTAACAATAATTTCTTTTGACAGTCTTACGGCAGCAATAACAAAACCTACCAAATTATCTCCTGTAACAATCCATTTAAAAGAATTATTAACTCAGTCTTTTAGGCTGCAAAAAAGTAACACAGTCTGAACAAATACAGCTACTGAATTCTTTGAAATTCTTTGAACTTTTTGTTAAATAAAACTGAAATGAAATGTAATCCATAAAATAAAACTACTGAATTGTTAAATGTGCCCATCTTATCTCTTCCATTCAATTTAACAGAAAGTCACAACATATCTAAGAATAAGTAATATTTTGTTAATTAATACTAGTTAATTAACATTCAGTTCAGTTTTTTGAATACTGTGAACCTTAATAGTAATTTAACAGCTAAAAAACAAACAAACAAACAAACAAAAAAAATACCCAGCAAATGGAGACTCTGTGTCCAGCAGATGTTCTTTTTTCAGAGAGTCGTCTTTCAGGCTTTCACACTGAGATTCTTCACTCACGTCTTCTGAAATGTGTGGACAGTCAACACTGCACCTGGTTTCTAATGGCTTTCGACTTGAATGCTTCCTGTCGCCTTCTCTTCCAGCAGATCGACTCCATGATGATAAACTCTCTTCACAGTTGTCCGTGGGCTTTCGAAAACCACACTGTATAGAATCCTGAGTGAGCAGTGCTGAGGAGGAACTGGATGGTTCTAAATGCCTGCCCTTGCTATGAAATGACACTTCGTCATTATCAGAGGGTCTTAAGAATTTAGGTCTTGAATTTCCAAAAGAAGAAAACTGACTTTGCCTTGGATTGGATTCTCTTCTCCGTGTTTCAAAGGACTCGGATCTCTTATCATTTTCATCACCACTAAACTTATCTTTACTGATGTTGTTGGCAATGTCTATCGTGCTGTATTTATCCCTCAAGCTTTTATTATGTTTTGCCAAGTCAGATTTTCTACTTTCTTGACTGCTTTGTGCCTTATCTGAATATGCAGGTTTCCTCCACCGTTCTCTTCTGCTATCTTCTTTTGTAGATGCAGTTTTTTCAGCTTCTTCTAATTTTGACTGAAATATTTCCATTGACTACAAAGGAGAAAAATTGAACAAGAAATCTAAAATTAAAAAAGATTCATGACTTGTACCTCATATGCTATTGTGTCATAATACAATGTCATGTGGCACCATGAAAGAAAAACCCAACAAAGAGGGGAAAAATGACCCAAGCAATCACTCTACATAATATGGGCAAAACTATGTGTCCTCCAAATTCATACACTAAATTGCCTAATGCCTCAGAATGTGACTTGATTTGTAGGCAGGGTCTTTAAAGAGGGACATAAATTAAAATAAGATCATCAAGTTAGGCCCTAATCCAAACTGACTGATATCCTCATAAGACATTTAACACACTAAGAGATACCAAGAATGTGCCCCAGAAAAGACTATGGGGAGAATGCAGCCACTTATGAGTCAAGAAAAGAGGTCCCAGCTAACACACTACCCTAAAATAAACTTTAAAAAATGAGCATCAATGAAATATTCCCAATAATTAAAAAAATAAAATCAGGGAGTTCAAAAGAATAAGGCAGAAGACAGTAGTGACAATTTTTTCAAAAATAATTCCCAAAGTGACTGAGATTCAAGAGGTTATTACATTGCTAAAATGTAACAGGCTCATGGGGGGAAAAAAAGAGTGGTTCAAGAATAAAAAGTTTATAAAACAGAACTGTGTGTTCAAAACATGTAGATGACAAACAGAAAAACTAGAAGTGTTGAATCAAAATTAATCAATTCAACACTAGCCTGGGAATTTTCTACACTTAGGAAAAGATGATAAATAAATATGTCATAACGAAAAAGGACAAATGGACAATTAATTCCAGAGAATCTAATAGGCATGTCCTACTACTTCTAGATAGAAAGAACAAGCTGAAGAAAGCTTTATCAAAAAAAAAAAATAGTAAAAAAAAATTTCCCCAGCTCATTTTTCAAATTCAAATGGTTCATCCAATATCCTCAGGTGAGGGTGGAAAGTAAAGTATACAGAAGATTTCAAACACACAAAGAAAATTCTCCACAAAGACTAAATGTAAAAATATATAAACAAATATTTTTCTAAAAGACTAGACTGGGGAAAGGAGGAAGTAACAGTTAATATGTAAATAGATGAGACTAGGTACATAATAGCACATTACCTACAAAGGAAAAAAAAAATAAGACATATCAACTTTTTGCCTACAATACTAAATTCTTTTTTTTTAAGTAATTGCATTCCTTTTTTTTTTTTAAGATTTATTTATTTATTTATACAAGCACTGGGTACAGTCAGAAGCGCAGGAGGTCACGTGAGAGAATTCACCAGAGTCAGAGGGGAGAGCAGAGCAGGCAGACTGACGAAGTACACTGCTGAGGGGAGCAGCAGGCAGCAGGACAGGTCTGTCACACCATGTGGGACCCTCACTGGGTGGTTGGGGATCGAACCGGTGCTGCAGAGGCTGCGGGTAGCATCGCAACCCAGCGCTCAACCGCTGCGCCACTAGGGAGGCCCTACAATACTAAATTCTGAAAGATGATGGAAAAAGTAAATCACTTACTGATTCTATAAATATTAAGGAACATTAATCCAAACCATAAATGAATTAGAAAAAAAGACATTTGATAAAAGGAAGGTATGAGAAAACCAAATGGCAAACGTAATAGTTAAGCCTACAAAACTGTCCTTATAGCTATAAAGCTTAACACAATTGTCAAGAACAAGGTGTCAAATTTTAAATTATAAAAAACTAGGATCAAATTTTTTAAATTATTTCAATAAAATCTGAAAGGTAATATGGGGAATCAAAACATTCTGAAGTTATTATCTTAACCTACGCAAAAATAATTTCTTTTTTAAAAATACAGATTCAATGCATTTCTTAAATTTAACACCAGGAATAGAAAAGAAATGATGGGGTGGGGGGGGAAAGGGATTATTTTCATAATGAAAGCACAAGTAGCTTTTTCTTTTCTTAGTGACACATATTAATGACGTGGCTACAACTAGTGGCTTCTTAGAGTCAATATAGTTACAGACAGCCAGCCCCAGGCCAGCCAGTAAGCTTGTGTGGAAAAGCGGTGCGCTTGAAAAGAAAACGCGGATTGCAGCTGCCTCCGCCTGTGACCTAGGCTTGCGGGGATATGCGCGGGGGCCCTCACTGAGGTGAATGTCCCTCACTGAGTAATCAGAAACCAGGTGTCCGGACACGGGAGCGGGGTGCAAAAGGCGCCATTTCTGCGGACACTGAACTGGGCTACAGCCCACATCCTGGACCTGAGGGCTTTGAAACTGAGACCTGGGGCACGAAATTCGGGGTGCGGGATCCCCACGATGGTGGGGCACAAGGCAGACACAGCACCCCAAAGCCGTTGAGGCTTTCCCCACCACTCCCACTCTGTTCCCCTGTCCCACGGGGTAAAAAAACAGCTTCCCAAGGACACTAGGAGAGATCTCTGGTGCCACCTAGCGACCAGAAAAAAAAAATTACCAACACCCCATAGAATAGGGTACTTTCTTCAGTAAAGTCTGCTTGAAACCTGCAGAAGGCTCCCGGAGGAGCCAGAGGTGAGCTGGGAAGTTTGCCCGCGCCAAGCCCCTTCTGGCCAGCAGTCTGAGTCCAGAGGGGGAGCGGGCACCCATGGCCGGGACAGACCAGGCATGCAGGGGAGTTCATACCCACATCGCCTTTTTAGAACAGGGACCTTTCTTCAATAAAGGCTGCTTGAAACTGGCAGAAGGCTCCTGGAGGAGTCAGAGGTGAGATGGGAAGTTCGCCCACGCCAAGTCCCTTCTGGCCATAGGTCCAAATGCAGAGGGGGAGTGGGCACCCAGGGCGGGGCAGACCGGGCACGCAGAAGAGTATGTCTGTATCCAAATCGCCATTTTAGAATAGGGACCTTACTCAGTAAAGACTGCTTGAAACCGGCAGAGGCTCCTAGAGGAGTCAGAGGTGAGCTGGGAAGTTCGCCCAAGCCAGGCCTCTTCTGACCAGAGTCCGAGCCCAGAGGGGGAGAGGTCACCCACGGCTGGGGCAGATCCAGCATGCAGGAGAGTGTGACTATCTCCGAATCGCCATTTTATAATAGGGACCTTTCTTCAGTAAAGACTGCTTGAAACCGTCAGAAAGCTCCCGGAGGAGCCAGAGGTGAGCTGGGAAGTTCGCCCAGGCCAGGCCCCTCTTGGCCAGCAGTCTGAACCCAGAGGGGAAGTGGACACCCAAGGCCGGGGCAGACCAGGCGCTCAGGGGAGTGTGTACAAGCATCGCCTTTTTAGAACAAGGACCTCTCTTCAATAAAGACTGCTTGAAACCGGCAGAAGGCTCCCAGAGGAGCCAAAGGTGAACTGGGAAGTTCGCCCACTCCAGGCCCCTTCTGGCCAGCAGTCCGAGCCCAGAGAGGGAGCGGGCACCCACGACAGGGGCAGACCGGGGACGTGGAAGAGTGTGCCTGTCTCCAAAGCGCCATTTTAGAACCTTTAGGGACCTTCCTTCAATAAAGACTGCTTGAATCTGGCAGAAGGCTCCCTGTGGAGCCAGAGGGAGAAGGTTCCCTGCACAGTCAGAGGTGAGCTGAAGGCCCCCACAAGCCCAGTCCCACCTGGAAGGAAGTCGGAGCACAGAGGAGGATCCAGAGATTTGGAACCCAGAGTACAATCCAGCTGCCCCACCTGCAGGGAAGTCTGTGGGACTTCAAGATGCACATTTGTAACTAAACACAGAAGGAGGAGAGATTCTGTAACAGTGACCATTAACATACGCAAAGTACCATTGCCTCCCAAGATTTCTGGCATAACAGTTTTTCACTCGTTTGGATTGCCAGTTTCTGAAACTCCCGAAAGAACACACCAAAAAGATGCCAGCCAGTACCAGTGGCACACTGTCCCAATGCATGAAGCAAATTAGAAGACAGGCAGCAGGTAAAAGAAAAACTACAAGCAAAGTAGCAACACCTCAGAAATAAGACAAACCACAAAAAAAAAAAAACCACCCACCAGATTGCAACTATGGTGACTTCGAAGACCTTCTGAACATTCCAGAAAAAAAATTTAAAATTGCCGTGATGGAAAAACTGATAGAAGTCATTAAGGAAAACAACAATCAGAAGAATTAAATTGAGTCCCAAAAGAGAGAAGCCATTAAGGAAAACGACGTTCAGAAGAATGAAATTGAGTCCGTAAAGAGGGAAGTAAAAGAAATGCAAGAAGTTAAAGAATTAATGGAGGCGCTAAAGAACTCTGGGAAAAGCAATGAAAGCAGAATAGATGAAATGGAAGAACAAATAAATACTCTTGAAGACACAGAAATAAAAAGAACCAAAACAGAAAAGGAAAGAGAAGTACAAAGGAAAAAGACCAAAGAAAGACTTCGGGAACTATCTGACTCCATGAGGAAAGGAAATATAAGAGTTATAGGAATCCCAGAAGGAGAGGAGAGAGATGTAGGAACAGAGAAAATATTCAAGGAAATAATGGAAGAGAACTTCCCAAACGTGAAGAAGGAGCTGAAAATTGATATACAAGAAGCAAGAAGAACACCAAATTTCCATGACAAAAGGAAAAATACAGCAAGACACATAATAGTAAAGCTCCCAAGAATCCAGGACAAGGAAAAAATAATGAAATAATGAAGCTGACAAGAGGGAAGAAACAGATAACATGCAAAGGAAAACCAATCAGACTGACATCAGACTTCTTCGAAGAAACACTACAGGCGAGGAGAGAGTGGAGGAACATAGTCAACAAACTCCAAGAAAACTGATGCCAACCAAGAATATTCTATCCCCCAAAGCTCTCTTTCCTCTGAGAAGAAAGAATAAGGACCTTCCCAGACAAACAGAAACTCTGAAATTTCATTACGACTAAACCCCCACTCCAAAAAATACTACAAGGAATCCTAAAGCCAGAACCTCAGAGGAACAAATAACAACGAAAGAAGGCCAAAAAAAAAAAAAAAGTTATTAAAAGAAAAAATAAATAAAATCAAAGGAAAGACAAACACAATGGCAAATACAGATGCTAACATATCAATATTAACTCTAAATGTAAATGG